AAATTAGTTTTCTCCCTTAGCTCGTTGCCGCTGTTTTGTTTTTAGGTCCATCTCCCTGTCTTTTCCCTACCCTCCTTTCCCAGGGCACAGGTCCCTCCACCCTGGCATAGTCACAGAACCAGGTGAAATGGGCCAGAACTGCTGGCACTGTAAAATGCAGAAGCAAGGAACTTCTCCTCCTATGGATACCTTCAAACAACTAGGACTGCATGGCTTGTGACGGTGAGATCCTCCATCTCTAACAGTTAAAATGGCTTGCTTACCAGTGCTGGAAAATAACTAATTCAGCATGCAGAAAGCTTTGCTCTTGCAGTACTGTTTTTTTTTGACGGTATCTGCATGTGCACTCCATTCCCACCCTCTGGCTCTGAAATAGCAGGTTGGAAGGCAGCACATAGCATCATCCCCATCCACCCTCCTGCTGTCAGCAGCAGACAGCCTGTCCTTCCCTCTCTTTGCCACCTCCTGGCTCTCAGACACAGGCTTGTGAAAGTGCGGTACAGTGTGTGAGCAGCATATTGTTCTGACAAGTACTTCAGCTGTGCCATGATGCCTACTACTTTTGTCATTCTTCCTCCACGGCCATCCAGCTAAACAACACCTAGTCATCAACTTTCTTCCTCTCGCTCCCAAACAAGAGACTCATCTGTGTCACATTTTTCCTCCCCCAGCCACCATCCTGCCTAAGCATACAGCAGCTTGACACAGAGAAGCTTTGCAGATTCAAGTACAGGTGAAGTGTACACAAACAAGTATTCTTCGGGAGCTTTTAAGACTATGACAGTCTGCTTCCCAATCCTTATTTGTGTGAGCAGTCCAATTGCTCACCTGACAGACCTGCACTATACACCAGTGGTTGCCGTTAGTCTACCAGAACTGTCTTTGAAAAGTAGAACCAATGAAAAGGTAGCTTTTGCTGCTTTTAGAAAGCTGAGCAACAGTTGGCCTCCAGAGAAAAGGCATGATAATTCATTGCAATTAGCTTACACAATCAATGCAGAGCATGTATTTGCTGATTATCCAGAAGCAGATGCAGACTAATGAGAAACTCAAAGACATTTTGTTAATAATTCAGTACTGTGCATGGCTGTCAGCTTGAAAACAGCTGGTCAAAAGAAAAAGGGAAACCTTAAAGTTGGGACAGTCCAGAAGACTACCATATGATGTCCCAGAAAGAGGATTCTTTGTTACAACACACAAATAGATACACTGAGAAGTTACTGCACACAAGTTCAGGTATTGTTCTGCAGTTTGTACTTCTAACCCCAAATAACAGAAGTGTTTGCTTTACAGATGACTCAGCTGAAGTATTTCAGCCCTACCATTAAACCTTATCTTGCAAATCAATTTGAAAATTCCTATTAATTTCCCTGCAATTATACTATGAAATGGTAACTGGTTGGTATTTCCGTTTCACACTTTCTTGACAGGATAAGATTGGAGAGAATATTTTGGATGAGAATATTTTGTTGCATTTCTCTTTCTCTCACTCCTCAAATAAACTGCCTTTTAGTCTTTATTCACAGAGTAAACTCCTGCACCTAGTAATTAGGTGGAGAAGCTTAAAATGCTGTTTCCCTCAAACTACTTGTCACTGATCCTCAGCTGGAAGTTACAATGTCTTCAACGGAGTTGCCAGAACATCTAAGTGTTCCTTTGTCAACTCAAAGAACACCAGTTTCAGCGCAGGTTAATTTGTGCCATGATACTTTGCACCAAAGAATACTGAGCAGCGCTCACCTGAACTCTTATGCCAGATCTGCTGTATGACTGAGATCTCTGGGGGCAAGGGAAGCGTAAAAAAAAAGGAGTTCAGTATAACATCTCCAGCTATTGCCATGTGCCTGCAAATTCGTTGCTCCTACCCTGCTGTGAATTAATTCCACGTAAAACCAAACCATGAGCCTTCCACACTTGTCCTGTTAACAACAAATTTGAAATGCAGTTTCTCTCCTGACTTATAAAAGCTGAACGCTATGCAGACAATACTAAAATAATTCAGTCTTCTACTGGACTGCATCCAAGCGTCTCATAGAAGTAAACAGAAAGTTTAAAGAATCACTACTGAAGCTCACAGGAAGTATAATGCTTCCTGCATGAAAATATTCGACAGAAATCCTTAAATATTCCATGTTTTTCAATGAATGCCACTGTACTTTTGTATATGGAAGCCTTTTATACTTAGACTTCGTAAAATATTGACTTGTTAAAATACCCCAGAAGAAATCCAGTCTTGGTAAAAGTTAGAATACTAATTTTTTAAAGTTAGATACTGATTTTTAAAGCTTCTTAAATATCAATAAATTAAATTCAAATTTTACTTGTACTCTTTTTAACTTTGACTTTCACAACTTCTAGAAAAACGAGGCTCACATTTTCCCGTTAACCAAAGTGACTAAATCCTGAAATTATGGGCGAGCAATAGCTTCGGTGCTCTGGAAGATCACAGTGCCCACAGCTCTTCTTGTTGCTTCAGGAAAATAACAGGAACGCAGAATGGCCACTGCTTCCAGGAACAACAGCCAGTCAGTGTAAAGTCAGAGGCAGTCAGCTCTTTCTTTCCCGTAACAGCAGGAAACATAACGGGATGCTCCTCTTCAGGACACTTGGGAGTTATTTAAGTACTACTGGAAGAGTATTCTCTGTGGCAGGACATTAAATTAACATGAGAAATAGCAAAAAAATAGCAAAGAGTAGAAAATGGTATTGGTGTCCATCAAATGCTTCTTTACCATGTCTGCGAGATTTTATTCCTCAAAACAGTTCTCCAATAATATGAACTCTCAATCTTTTCTGCAGTTCTATTTGCTATTCTTTTTTTTTTTTTTTTTTTTACTAAAAACTCCCTTGGAAACAAAAAATGCCTTAGTCTTATAAAAGAACCTAAATGATGTGAGGCCGTGGCCCATTATGTGAGCTTCCTACAATTGAATTTCCTCATAGAGGACATAAAAACCTTTGTGGGAGGCCTGATACTTACAAAGTTGTTTTACTAAATAAGAGGAATTATGATAAATAATGAAGGGTAACTGTTCATAAACCAACTGGCGTAGAGAAATGGCACAGAGGAATGAAAGGCAATCTTGCAAATTATTAATTCCCCCCCTTTCCCTTATTTATGAAAATCTGCTATTCCAAGAAGCCAGAGCCCCTAAGCATTAGAATCTCTTGCTTCTGATATTTCCTTGGAAAATAACTAACTAACAGCTTCTATTTGAAGTTAATACAAAACTTGTCTACAAATTATTTTCCTACTTTATTAAAGTACAAGAGTATTTTCGAGTTACAGGAGGGATGCCTGAGAAAAGAAACAATCATCTGATACAGAAGATCTAAAAATGAAGTACTAAACAGCAAATGTGGATAAGTTTAGGATCAAAACTTATTTCATTGCTTGTTTGACAATTTTTCTGTATTCATAAAAGCAGAACAATGATGGAACAATGACATTACATGAGCAGGATAAATACATGCTTTACATACTCAGCAAGATTACTTATAAAAAGAACTTCAGAAGTTGGCCATCTCGGAAGGGATTTTTGCTGTTTAATTTCATGAATATGAAGTCGGTAGCAGCCTTCAGATGTGTGAAGTTTGACTTTAGATTCAAAGTACATCCCTGAATCATACAGATTAGCCATTTAATATCAAATATTAGATGACAAAAAGTTACGTATCTTTTTTCTACATTACAAAATTCTTAAGGATATAGAGACAAAGTACTAATAAATAAGTCGCAGTTCCCTTAGTTTAAAATAGTTTATTAATATACCAGAAAACACAGTATTTTCTATATCAGGACCTACATACATGGACAAAAATAAGGAAGCAATTGTAGAACACAAGCCCAAGTGTTCAAAGTGGTATTCATTCCATATCCAAAAAAGCTAAGCCTATGTCTCTCCCCTGCCACGTTTTCCCATCATTTTGTTTTTCTAGCTTGGAATTCAGTATGGTTCTGAGGGATGCAAGCAAAGCACCATGGGAGGCTTGGTGCCTCCTGTGTGAAATTACAGAGCCCTGCTGTGCTTGTGAAACAGAGTGCTGTGACATGGACACATCCCTAGCTACGTGAGATACACACAGCCTAGCAAGAGGACATCATATTTTCTGCTTTAAAGCAGAGATATTCAGATCGCTGCCTTCTTATGTGATAATGCTTACACTGTTGCAACTGAATTCATTAATAGCTTACTGCTATCAATGCTCATTAAAGAAACCCTTCAAAATCAAATACGGCATTTACATACTTTCAATGTTCCCAATACTGACAGTTAATATTAAAAAAATCAAATCTTTATTATTTTAAGATACTAGCCTGGGAAAACAAACACCACAAACAAAAGGTTCCTGCCTTCTTTCCAATAAAGATGAGCCTACATTTGGATTCAGTCTTACATTTGGATTTGCAGTCTACATTCGGATTCAGATTTTTTCCCAGTGCTTATTGTACCAGTGGAAGCACGTTTTTTCTCAGTTGCCATGCCAACATCAACAACGGAGAGATACTGGAAAGGCTTCTGAAACGTAAATCTTATTTTCTTTCATTGTTCTTCCATAAACTATGTGGTGAATTAAACTTTCTAGGATACTATGTGAAACTTCAACTCAGTATTATTTTTGCAGAAAAATCTGTTCTGAATTATTCCTTTTTTTAGTCTGATAATAATAAAACTCCTCTCAAGAACAGGTAATTAATACTTCTCTTGTACATTATCTATTGCTTACAAATTATTTATAAGTATACTGCCTCCATTCTATGTGCCTCAGCAAAGTATTCCAGTTGGAGTTTTAAGGTCAGGCTCTCATCCGCCACGATGGGTGAAATTGTTCCAGGCACATTCCGTAACAAGCAAACACTATGGGCACTTTAACTCCACAGAACGTGGTTTGGGAAAGGCAAGTGAGAACAGTCGATGTTATTTGAAGAGAGCAAACAAAGATCATTATTCCCAGAGAAAACAACAGAGCAAAGGGAGAACAGCTCCTGTTGCACTCACCATTCTTGCGCTCATTGAGAGGAGGCAAGCACTGGCTGGGCTGCAGGGACAGCTCCTTAAACTCGTGTGCCACTGCTTCGCTGTGAGGGCTGGGGGCGAGACGTGGCAGGGATCCAGGGTCGTCCTCAGCATCCGCTGTCCCCACGTGATCCATTGTGTTAAACCTCTGGAGAGAGGGAAAGCAAGCGATCATTTAATCACACAAAAGCTGATAAAACTAATAAAGAAAGAACAAAGAACTATCATGTAGACGTGCCACTGCCAGCTTTGGTCGGTTCCTCGACACAGAGGATTCAGCTTTAAGATTATACTTACATCATCTAATGCTTTTCCACAACCAGCACAGATTTAAGAAAAATGCACTAAAGCAATGTATTTACAAGCAATTCAACAGTTCAGAGTTTCCCTGCTGGCTCTGACAGAAAAATTACATTGTTAGTTCTTAACATGGATGTCCCCAAGCTCCTGTGACACAGGGTCACCAGTCAAATGTCCATTTTTATTTTCCAGAAGCTTCTATTAGGAAATACTGAATGAATGTATGGCAACGTACAAATAGCGTTTAATTTTTTTGAAGCAGTGCAAAACTTTTGTCAGCATTAATAATCAACTTTGGTATTGATCCAGGACTTGATACTGCCACAGAACCACACAAGGATTAGTTAATCTCTAACATGGAAAGTTTGTTGCCATGAAATTTTTCAAATTAATTCTGTTTCACACTAGCCACTCATTGGAAAGTCCTCTCTAGAATGGAGCAAACATCCCCATTCATTCTTTACTGTCTATCATTCACGTGGTACTTAGTTTGCAGTGAGGAATACAGAAGCATGGTACAAGCTCTTCAAAGCTCACAGAGCTTCTATCACTGAAACCTGAATAAAATCACTACGGACTTCAATACAGTTCACCCTCAGATTCCTGGAAACATGATCAATATGAAATAACAATTCATGGAGAACCATAAAACAAAATCAATGTCCCATTTCTTTATTTTTAATCATTTTTTCTTAGGAAACACTGCTGTTGCCCATATTTAAAGTTCAGACTTTTGGTATGCTGAATATAAATGCTTCCATGCTGCAGTATGTATTTAGTGACCATCAGCACACAACATGTGGTTCAGTGACCACAGTCAGAGCATCTCATGTGTTACCTGACATTTACAAAAAATTGAAGATGACAAAAATGTTCAGTGACCATCAAAGAATGGCCTACACTATAGAAAGGGATAAAAGAATCATGTTGTTGAAAGCACCAATTTAAAAGTAAGAAACGTAAGCCAGCGCTGCTTGATTGATATTTCAGTAGAACAATTATGATGGTTAAGTGCATATTTTTTGTTATTTTCCATAGTTACCAATTGGTGCTTTCACATTAAATTAAGACACATTAACTCAGTGTTACACAATTTTTTTCTTTGTTCTTAGCTTCTAGAAGCACAATTTACGTAGCTCTCATTTGTTTTACTGACATTACGCTCTGCTCAAACTCCCACTCACCCACACAAATTAAGTTCATTACTAACCATGCAATTCTTTTCAGAGCAGAATTTAAGTGAAAATTTAGTTGCTTATCTGCTTGTAATCACAGCATTTTATCCCCAGTTTACTGGCTGTGAGTTACACCTTGGAATCACTTTTCAAAGAGGTCCAACCACATCAGCTGTGCTCACAAACTTAACTCCATATAAAAATTAACAGAAACACTCTCATGTATGAAAGGTTTCACATTTATTAAGCTGCATGTTAGCTTTTGACTAAACTGTTTTCCACGAGAGGTAACAAAATACCTTGCTTTAATTTAGATCAATTTAAATTTTACCAGTCCTAAAACACTGAGGCAAATCAATTCATTGTCTATTTGTTCATCTCGGTTTCAGAACTGTGTGTAAATGTGGCTCAGCTGTCCAGCTTCAACCAAGAGAAAGGCAAGTACCGATTATAAATCACATTAAATGACATCACTCATAGCACTGCATAGCAACTCAAACCAGACCGATTTCTCACACAAAAAAACAGCTTGAATCTGACTAAACTGAACTCAGAGGGACCTCGTGGAGGTCATCCAGCCCAGCTCCCATTTCAGAGCAGCTACCTGCTGCTTAGCAACTCGTCTCACTAAGCTCTGAAAGTCAACAGAGACCCGGCATCCCCTCTCTTCAAAAACAACGTCCCATGCTGCTGCTACCTGTGACTGTTCTGTCCTGCTGCTCTGCTGTAACGCAGGGCAGTACTGCTCTCCATAGATCTGAAATCCCAGTTGTTACGATGCTTTCACACAGTCTCCAAATTGGCTAGGTTATCAGGAAGCCTCTAAAACAAAGTTCAGAGCTCTAACCCTAATCTGAAAGTTCCAATTCCCAGCAAAACAAATTATTTGTCTTAATTTTTTTTTGAGAAACCTTTGCAAGAATTGTATGCCATTTTAACCACTAAAAATAAATGTGTTCATAAATAAATAAATCTACAGTGACATCCACTTATTTGTTCGTAGAGCTTCACAGCAGTGGGACTCTGTGAAGAAAACTGGGAACAGGCTGCGGCATTCAAGGTAAGTGTACACTGAAGCACCACAGTGGATGCCAGAAAGTTATTCCTGCTATTTCCTCAAGAAGCTGTCTGTGAAGGCTGACGGAACTGGGGAAGGTTGTTACACACAGCTACTGCATGCAGAAGGTCCTCTTTCAATCATCTGCTGAGAGGATGCTGGAAGACATTTTACCTATTGGCTGCTAGGCATCCAGCCATTTTCCCAAAGGATCATCTAATCCTAGATGTCTGATGTATCAATACAAAAAAATCCATGACCTACATCATCAAAACTGGGCTCAGATCTGTGCCTGCTGAATCAGTGAACAGAACACTGAAACTATAGCAAAAAGAAGACAAATTGCAGACTTGCAATAAGATACAAGCAATGCATCTAACACTTCATTCTTGTTCCACTAAAACCTTAGGCAAAATCAGCTGTTCAACTTTCTAAAAAGAAAAACATCTAAACGCAACCTTCACAAAATTAACAATTTGTCTTAGGCAGTAGGGCTTTCCTTACTGACTGACAAAGTAATTATGAAACTTAAAAGAACTAGGAAGAGATAGCTATGTAACCAATGCCTTTTGTACACTGATTTACCTATGAGGTGATAAACCATTGGTTTCCAGCACGCTCATTTTAGCTGCTAGAGGAGATGCATACAACTTGTTTGGCATCAGCTGGAAGTTACGGCCAACAACACTTACTGCACTGTGAAACCAGATCAGTTATGCAGGACATCTCTCATCTACCTTCAGTTTTCAAAAGCCAAAATACATTCCAGCACTTGTAATACAATTGACTGGTGAGCAGCAGTTGAAATACAAAAAATAGGAGAAAACGTTCGCTTACTTTGAAATCAAACACTGTACACTGAATACTTTATTCAGTCATCATGTGTAAATGTGAGAAACTGTGATCTGATTTAGAATTCTGTGTGCCATAGTACAATTGTAGTACTATTTAATTACAGTTAAAGAAAACACATTTGCTTCCCCTTTCTCATCCCTTTAAAAACTACTCAGTCCTAAAGAATTACAAAGAATTACTTCATATTTGCCATCTGCATTTACAGCTGCTGACCGTTACCTATGTGGCCCTTGATTTTAAGCAGGCCAAGGTACAGAAGCGTATCAATGACATGTAACTCAAACACAAATATGAAGAAATATGTATAGTAAAAATACTCCACTAAAACATCCATATTGTTAAATGGAAATCTTACTACTCTAAGTGAAAATATTCTACATAATTCTGTGTCATCTGAGAAAGCATAATTTTATACAGAGCTAATTTGACAAACAAGTCAATGGTTATTTCTTCAGAGGTTAGCACTACTTCAAACAGACACACCTGAAGGTTAGGAAGATATATGAACTGGCATTCCCTTATGTATGAAGAACCTTCCTACTTACAAAGTTTTTAAAATACAATACCATTTTATTTGGAGTAATTAAAATAAAACCACTCCTCTGCAACTGCTGAAAAGGATTTCAAGTTCGGAGGGTTTTTTTTACACGCAATCAGGCAAAACAGGTAAGAGTAATAAAATGAATCATAGAACAAAATTATTTTCCTACTTAACCTTCAGAGTAGATTATCAAAACATGAACCAACACTGCAAGCAAGGCATCAGTTCATATTTGTCTGACAACTACTCAGAAGCAGTATGCCAGTACTGGGAAAGAACTAATGTGCAGTAAATGACTCTTATGTAAGTGTCCTCACAGATTGTAGGTGGTTGCTATCTTTCTTAACTGCTGAAGACAAATGCTTCTTTTTTTAAAAATCATTTTTATCTCTAAGAGATATTTCCTTAGGAAAACCTCAGAAAGGGGAAAACGCATACCTCTCTGCCACTTGGGACACAGAGCTGGTATTCTATTCAGCATAACCAGTGAAATTGGTAGCATACTTAGGCAGTTAACCAGTTTGATATATACAAAATCTGCTGGACAAAAACCTCCAGAATCGCCTGTGTTCACACAGGCCAAGTCAACTGGCTGATCTTACCATAGTTTCACTATACTGTCATATGAAATTCTTGTCACACCGGATTAGACATCAGGGATGCTACAGTACATAATTTATTACAGTATCATGCTGGCAAATCACATAGGTTTCAGTTTCTCAACTTGTAAAACTCAGGAAATTTGAATGATATAACTATCAGTTTGTAAAACACCAGAATCACCAATGGAAAGAATACTAGAATTGCAGATTTTATTTGTTTATTTATTTATTATGTAATGTGTCAGAAAACACTACAGAAGATGCTCTTAATACAGCTCAAGCACCACATCCAGCAGGTGAGCCGACCAGCCTATGCAAGTCCTGTGCACGAAGCTCTTGGATCTCCCTGTCAATGCCTCAAAAACCTGCAGTGGGGGCAATGATCTCTGGAACAGTAATAAGCTTTCAGAGGTCAGGTAGACTTTCAAACGTCACTTCAGTTTGATCAGTGAGCATTAATGATTTTTATCTGGGATAGTGTGCTGAAGTAGCAGCATGCAATGCTTTAGAGCCACTTGTGTCCATGATTTCCTACAGCAGGGAAACATAAATGGTGTTGAAGTTGACCGCCTAAACAAATCAAACCATAAATGTTCATTTTGGTATTATTAAGGCACTTGATAGCTTAAGTCCAGAGTCAAGGTTAAACAGTTAATAATACTAACACATCATAGAACTGCTAGATATTTTAGTGCCGTCGTATCTTAGAAGCTTTTTAATAGGAGCTCCGACAGTTCAGAAATTAAATTTTACCAATAACTTCGTCCATGATCTTTAACACGTTCAGGCTTCTTCAATAGCCGCAATGTTGCTCAGTTTTAAAAATGAGTATTGGTAGAACACCCAAGGCATTTCAGAAAAGGCACAACTTCTCCATGATTTCATTTGTTTCCTTTGCTACTTCAAGATGTTCACATTCATGACTAAGCTGCAGGTGCTATTCTGTTTATTTCAGTGACTGTAAACCAAGCCCTTGAACAGAACAAAGCAAGGAAAGCATTAGGATTCAGGTCAAAGAGGAAGGAACTGCAGGACTGTTTCCTGTAAAACATGCTACTTTCTACCTTCCTTCATGAGCATAACTGAACGTTACAGAATGATTTCTGTAAAATGAAATGTCTTGAAAAAGAAACACTTTGCTTCTCTTTATTTCTAGACACCATTAACAGGGTTAACAAAACATTGTACGTGGAGTGTCAAAGATGTAACCTTCTAAAAAATACAGTTAGCTATTACAGGACAAAATTCAATTACTATTCATGTTCAGTAATAAATTAAATACTAATTAGGTATGAATTCAAAATAATGTAGCACAATTAAGGCTTACTAGCAACTTCAATTTAAGGTACCTTGCAAACATCAGGATGAGTATGTCTGAACTGCAGCTCAGCACACACAGGCAGATGGTACCCGGTGAAGTAGTCCCTGTTCATAACCTCAAGACAGCTTAGAAATTCTTTTTCACAGGGCTTTTATTGCCTGCTAACTTGTGCCAGCACAGCTACGTTCAGGTATGAACAACGCAAACAGTGCGCTCAATTAGCTCTCACAGCAACAGGCAACTTGTTCTTAATTTCTGAAACTAGAACTCGTACAGTTTAACCCATTAGTGGAACAAAAGAAAAATTCAGGAAGTGATAATGCATAAATTAAAAACTCACTGCTCTGAAAATCCTAAGCAGCAGCTATTAATCATACTTTCTTCATATGATTTATGCTAACATCTAAAATTCTCCTTTCTGTTCTCTCATTTAGCACTCTATAATCCCAGCAAAAAGCAGGGCAGAAGATATACGTGTCCCAAATGACTGGTTTTGCTTTGCAAAGTTCATAGAAATGTTTAATCTTCTCTATGTTGTTTCTTTTAACTAGAAATAAAATAGAGACCTAGATTAACATTTCAACGTTCAACGTTTCATCTATTTTATAACAATTCTGTTTATGGTGCCCGATGTAACAACAGAAGTACCACCAAAGATCACTAAAGCAGGTGGTGGAAGTCTCAAGATGATGTTTATAGTGCCGCCGTCTTAATGAGACCAAACTGCCTGACGATCTACAACTGGACGATTTGGAAGACTTCCCTGTTGCTCTGGTTACCCACAGCTCCGTACACCACGTACCTGGATTCATCGCATGCAGGCTGTGCGGATATGAGTGCCAATCTTTCTCAACTGAAAGAGGCAGTGGCACAAAATTTCGGCACTTTCACTGAATTATTCTCTGCTGTGCTCGTCATTATCCTAGAGTCAAAATGAATTCTACAGTCAATATAGTTCTCACACTACTTACTCCAGTTAAGCCAAAGCTGCTATTGGAACTGGACAAATATGACTTTGATTGGCTTAGAAGTATTAATGAGGGCTTTACCAAGTCCACTGCAAACTTTAAAAAGCCACTTAAAGGAAAAGAGCACCCAGGTTTCATCATTTAGGTTCATGGCTTCAGAAAGAGAATCTCTTTCCACCTCAGTCTTCACTCACTTCTTCTCCAAGTTGCATCTGATACAGCAGAGTCAAAGAGCAAATTATGTCACCTGACCCAGAAGCTAACAGTACGGTGTTATATTTGGTAACAGTGAGCCAAACAGCGAGTGTTTGAATGGTAGTTGTACTGCTCACACCCCATGCAGTATGCAGTGACCTGCCTTTTTATACAGTAGTGACAAAAGGTCAGAATGTGAATGCAATGATACCATCCATAATAGATTTACACCCCAAAGCATCTTCCCAAGAACTGTTACACTTTTTTTTCACAGATACAGTAACAATGCACAATAAGAGAACGCTTACATCCAAATGTTGAAGCTTAAGATATAAAATAAACAGCAGAACAAAAAGCTCTCACATATCCCCAACTTCCTGAACACTGGAAATTAAGCGTGAAGATATGTATTGCAAACAGAACATTCTGGCTTCAAAAATAAAACAATACTCTTTGCAAAGAAAATCTTTTTACTTGTCAGATCAAAAATGTTTCTAAGATGCTCACCAGCACCCCAGCTAACAAAGCAAGACCTCAGGAAGGGATTTCACTTATTGCTTTTTTATGAGTACACAACAAAGATAATAAGTAGATCCAACTTAACCCCCAGATCAACATCCATACTCTAAAATAACCAGAAGTATGTTATTAGTAGGGTGCCTGAAGACTCTGAGGTTCTGAACAGTTCAATGCTGTAATCCACAGTCCATGCCCTCACAATTTCTCATGAACTCCAAGACTGACATGAACTGGAATTCCATTTTCCATACTGAAATTAGCTGAAGTCCAATAGTGCAGAAACTTTAGGTCAGGAAAGTTTATGTTGCCTGAAGCCACTTTCAAAGAAGTCTTATCTGTTAAACTATTGTATGTTTCAATATTTCTTTCTCTACAAATCTGCTTGATAAAAAATAAATAGGAGAGATCAACTATAGAACTGTTTGCTGTAGAGTTCGGCATCGATTGCTAAACTTAACAGCTCTAGCATCCGTAAGACTGCTATTTTTTAGTATTATCTCTAACTGCAATTTGAAATGAAAAATGTCATTAAACCTTCTCCTTGTAAAACGATCACCATTCTCATGTCCCTCCATATTAAATGAAACAGAAGAGTCCTCCCCTTACTCACAACTGGCAGCATCCAAGAATAAGCTGATACGGGAAGAAATGTAACGGCCTTCAGAAATACTTAAAAACTGAAGACCTGCTCAACAGAAAGTCAATAAATACAGAGAAAAAAGCCTCTCGTATTCAAAGACTGCATCTAGGTGCAGTCCGAAAATGGAGAAAGCCTGACTGCAACAAATTATTTCATTCATTCAGTGAAGACTGATCATTTTCAGAGATCTTATGGAAAATATTTATAAACTTACAGTGAAAGTAACAACCTCAGGAATTAATGTAACTCATATGATGTGAGTAAATGATAGTCTGTAAACTGCTCTTCACAGTAAAGACAGTATTTCTAAATTACAAGGAATATACTGCTAATGGATTTTAACATAGGAAGTGCAACACTGCCTTATTCTTAAGAAACTAAAGGGATAACCCTTAGTAAGAGCTGTTTAACACAGCTGGAACATCTACTTCAAATGTTAAAGTAATATAATACTCCAGCTATTGACCAGGTAGGTCTGACAGCAGTCACCAGACACAGGTCGCTTGTGTTAGAACCACCATCGGCAGCTGTGCTGACTGACAGTCACTGGTCGGTCAGATGACTTCCACCATCCTACTTCTGGTTTACTGTGACCTTGTCTGAACTGCTGGGACAGCCAGAAAAACCCTCACAGCACAGGCTGAAACATTTCTAAATATCATTTTCTAATATCCTTCTGCATAATGCAAAAAAAGCTCTTGAGCATTTCAAAAACACATCAGAACTAGCGTAACACACAGCTTACAAACTCCTAAGTCTGAAAACATTTCAAGCTGTAATTTCTCTCCCACATAGTAATTTAAATTTCATCTGTATATATTAGACATTTTGTTCTTCAACAGCACAATAAAAAGGTAATTACTTCAGTATTCCTTCCGATCGCTCAGACATTTCTGTCATCTAACAGTCACTGAAATTCATTCATCAGAGTGTTTCTAAACACTGGCTGAAGCAATTCACCAACACCAAAACACACCAAGTGCTTCATCATTGAAAAATCAGCAAAAAAAAAAGCTGAAAAATCTAATGCCTCTCCTTCCTCAAAGACATACTTTTGAATTCCATTAAAAGGTATTTTTGCAAAAACATACCAAAAAAAATCCCAGACCCTACACTATACTGTATACTGTAAAAAAAGAATGTATGTATTGTACGGCGCTTTATCCATCCCCGTTTTCAGATTTCTAGTTGTGTGTTTCCCACATTTGCTTCTGCTCAGAACTTTCTCTGTGCAGAGAAAGATGCGCTGCTGACTGCTGTAGGTTGTTACCATCAACATTTCAACACCTCCCAGAGTCCACCTTCCTGTTTTTCCAGTTGTGCAAATGACTTCTTAGAACTAGGCCTGCTTTACAGGACCTGGTAAGAAAGCAGTCAAATGGTTAAGCTGGTGAAACTGAGAAAGGGTGGAACATCTGGCAGGGGAAGGAGGGAGTCATTAACCACTCAACTCAGATCTGCCGCAGCCAGAACAGCTCAGCTTGTCGCACCACGCTGATCCGAGTGCAGGAGAAATCAGCAGTTACACTGCATTATTCACAAAAGCAGAGAAAGATGGCTGAAGCCATCTACAGATGTAGAGTGATTCTCTGAAGCTTGTTTCATAGTGGAAGATTTTTAATTCCTGCAGCCACGTGGGTGGTTTGCATTTTGCACGAACTGACTGCATTTGCTCACTTTCATAAACTGACAGCGTCTGCAGCTCACAGTGTAACTGCTGCTTCAACTGACACAGATGCAAAGAAGAATTAATGTAAATAACCCATACACATCCAGAAACGACCAATACTGAACAGCAAGTAATGACTTCTCATTAATTATTTACCTGAAACAAGGTGACCGTTACCATTACAAATAGGTTATTAAAATCCTTTTGCTGAACAGAAACCCCTGATGAAATTGCAGCATGTGATATGTTAACCTACAAAACAGTTTTCAATCATTCCCATAACGTCACATAGTTGTGTGATGTTGTAACTATATTCAGTATTTACCTTAAATGTATCAGCTGAACTCCAGAAAAACTGGACTTTTTTGCAGAAGTAAAAGCAAGGGCCAAACCCACTTGTTGCCTGCTCAGCTTTGCTTTTGGACCAATTTATCAGTATTTCGTGGTAGCAAGCATTGTTATCACATTCATCACTTGTATCACACTGTGAGGGCATTCCTTTTGATAATCTGGTTTAAGTTATTTTTCTCATGGATGTGTTTTTAAGATTTTTTTTTTTTTAAGAAAGAGCCCTGAAAAACAAGCTATGGAAGTATTTCCTACCAAGTAACATGGTACCATAATGAACACCCAAATGCTCTGAAATAATTAAAGAGATTTATTGGTCAAAAATATAACACACAAGTGGTACAATTCAAGAGAAATGTAGTCATTATAAAGATTCTGTTAATTTCTGTACAGTAATTTTGGCATATTTAGAAAGCTCCATGTCCACAACACACTCACTCTGAGCCCCTCTTTCACTGTGTTATCACCGAAGAAAGATGAGCAAATAAAGCACAAATTCTGCTTTGCTTTCACACTTACAAAGTGACTTACGTGCACAAATCAAATACATGGAGAAAGGCTGCTAATTCACTACATACAAAAATACTGCTATCTGTACAACTTGCACAGTGCTTTAAAACAAAGTGAGATTACTGTGACACAGCACGTCCACACGGATTACATTTAAGTGTGAACACTTTGTAAGACATAACTCACTATGAGTACTCATCAATGACATTTATAGATCTCCTTGCTTATGCTAAGTCACAGCCATCGCTTTCCTAAAGCTGTACTAACATCTGTTTCCAAATCCTGAAGACCATCAGCATGTGTTTAACTTTGTGCAATGAGTGTGATGTCATAAACGGACGCTTAAAGCTTTGCAGGATTAGGACCTCATCAAACAATACATTTTCATATTCTATGAAAGGGGAGCAAAATAAAGGATAGAGCCAGCAATGCCCGTGCCTCCCTGGCTGTGTGTCGGTGTCTCTCTGCGGATAGGAAATATTGAGAAAGTCATCACTTTGTGAGATGTAAGAGCCTTTAAGAGCAAGAACTGGACTTCAGTGGAATATACCACCTGGAACTCTATTTTCACAAATTTCTCTGCTTTTGAATTTTTCTTGAGCTCTTTTTCATTTACAGTAAGATTGTCTGGCAGACTGACTTTAACGTCTCTAGAATTTTTAATCGAGTTTTCAGCAACTGTTTCCTAGCCTTCCAACAACAAAAATGCCACTGCCCACCTTTTTCATGATGACAGATCATGGCTGATTACGTTGCAAATTCCCTTTTGGATAAAGGAAGAAAAAACGAGCCTGCCTTTTTTTTTTCCACGTTTGGTTCATTTGTGTTTCACTGTTCGGTGTGAAGATCAAAAACGAGCTCAACTCTGACTCCTCTCTCTCCGTTGCCTTTGGCATCATGCCCAGATTTAAAACCAGTTTTCACACATTTAATTAGCGGCTTTAGCCAAGTACCCAAATGTGAGATCTTAAAATATGGAGTAAACTATCAGAGAGATTCAGCTCATCACACAAGTGCACAACTGTTAAATTAACATCTGGATTTAATAACAATAATCTGAACACAGTTTAACATATTCTGCAATGTGAGTTTGTTTCAGAGATTCAGGATACGGAAGATTTTTGTGGTGGTGGCTCAGACAGCCTCAGTGTAACTTTACAGCAGCTGTCAATCTCTATCACAAAAGAAAAATTTGAAAAACTTTTGCTCCAAAGTGACTATGAAGGAATAGTCCTAAGATGATAAAAACCGCTCAGGAATCAATGTCAGGAAGTCAAGCTCACTATGCTTGATGCAGCACAGAAAAATCTCATGTACAGATGCAAAGATGAAACATTTATTTTGTGATGAAAAGATGAAATGTTGATTTGCAAACAAGCTTAATTCTAGTTGTTCAGGCATGTTGCTAAAAGAGTAACAGACATATTCCCTGTAAGAATCAAGGGTTGCAGACAGACTACACCTAGCACTGTATTTACCATGACAGAAACAAAGGAAAATGTCTTGCCCCCAGCTTCATGCTGGAAAAGTAAGAAGTCCTGGCAACTTATCTGAGTTCTTGCCTCCATGGGCCTAAAGCACTCAGCATTAAGTTCACCACTTCAATTATACATGAGAACAATTCCCATTGCTTTCAGAAGAATAGTGTACCAGGCTGTTCTGTGTTACCTAAGCCTGTATTTTGGTTATCATGAAACATGATTCCCCTGTACTCGGCCCTGGTGAGGCCTCATCTCAAGTGCTGTGTTCAGTTTTGGGCACATCAATGCCGAAAGGACATGGAAGTGCTGGAGCAGGTCCAGAGAGGGGCAACGAGGCTGTGAAGGGCTTGGAGAATGTGGCCTATGAGGAGAGACTGAAGGAGCTGGGGCTGTTTGGTCTGGGGAAAAGGAGGCTGAAGGGAGACCTGATTGCTCTCTTCCAATACCTGAAAGGTGATTGCAGCAGAGCGGGGCTGGTCTCTTCTCACTGGTGACAGGACAAGGGGAAATGGCCTCAAGTTGTGCCAGGGGAGGTTTAGGTTGGATATCAGGAAAAACTTATTTACAGAAAGGTTATTAAGCACTGCAATGGGCTGCCCAGCAAGGCTTTAGTCACCATCCCTGGATGTGTGTAAAATCCATTTGGATGCGGTGCTCAGGGCCGTGATTTAGCAGAGGGCTGTTAGAGGTAGGGGAGTACGGTTACACTGAGGTTGGACTCCATGGCCTTGGCGGTCTTTTTCAACCTGAGCAATTCTGTGATTAATATGCCTAGAAAGCATTATTATTAATCAGCACAGAACAAAGTGCAGTGCAACTACAAAAAAGAGAGGACTGTTTATATTTACCCTTAGTGTGGAGCAGAATTGCAAATTACTACACCGTGATTAGAAAGAGACAATTTAATACAAGGTCTGCTCTGAAAGTAATGCCTCCTATCTTGTGATGTCAGCCCTGACGTCAGCGGCAGCTGTTGGTGGGATGGCAGCAGAGGCTGAACCTGCCCACCAACATTCCGTGACAGGTTGTTGCTGTGTGACAGATGGCAGCAGAGGGGCACTGGGACAGAATGGCGCCTGACATGGAAGTGTGGGGGGAGCAAAGGGTGGAACTGAATTCCTCCATGTGGAAAAAAGGGCCCTCAACGACTTTCATCAGCACTTGTGAACATTAATGGAAACCAAACAGTGGCTGTTAGTACAGTGAGGCAGTAGGTGGTGCATTTCAGCAGTGGCAATAGTGATGTGAAAGACTAGTCATGTTTCAGATGGGCACACGGGTTTTTACGAGCACGGCATGCAGGGTCTTGTTTATCACTGGCAAAAAAAGCGTAACTACTACTGATGACTATGTTGAAAAATAGTGTTTTGTAGCTGAGAATTTGCTCTGTCAAGTCATGTTGTGCCCTTCGTGTCTGCTGTAGTTTTCACTGAAATAATTAGGAGGTATTACTTTTGGAGTGACCTCCGTATTTCCACTGGTGTAGTTCTACAATATTCAAATGGACCATGACTACATTTTCATTCAGTATCTTCCTATTTACTAAGATCATCAATTATTCATTTCTAATGCTACACTTGCCTCTTCTGATAGAACAGTTAAATAAGATTAAGTGACTTGAAATTACACAACAAAAACTGAAATAGTATTTTAATTTGATTTTATTATTTCATTTATTCATTTACTAATTATTTTAGAGCTAAGTGTTTATCAAATGAGATTACTCTCCCTGAAAACTAGGATTTGTTAGCAGTCCAAGCTTCCAGTAACTCCAGTTTCCCAACTGTGCCTCACTTGCCACCCTCGCCAGACAATTGACAGGCTGTCCTATATGGCCAGTCCAGAGTGAATATTTCTGACTGTCCAGACAGCTGCTGCCCATCAGAGTTCTGTCTGACGAGGACTTCTCTACTAAACATCAAACTTAGGAGTATGGTTACAAAATCAGCTGAGATATTTCTCTCAGAAGCCAGTTAACTTGTCCAAAAAATTCAAAAAAAAGTACAGGCAAGGCAGGAGATAGCACCATCCAATTCAAAACCCTCTAGAAGCCAGCCAAGTCACATCTCGGGTTCTCTTCCATCAAATGAAGCAATAGGCTTTCACAAGTGATTAGGTGAAGCATAGAGAAATCATACACTGAATATTTCCAAGCCCATTATTGGTAGCTTTCACTGCATTTTATGACCAGGGGAGAAATGTGATTCCATGAAGTATCTTGATACCATTTGCACACTAGGAAAGTCAAACGTACCCAATCATTCAGCGTGGTTACACAAATGGCAAGTTAGCATAAAGGCAGACCACCACACTCCTAGAGCCATAATTAAAAATTCTTAGTAAACTCTGGAAATTATCTTTGCTTTTTAAGTCAGACTGCACTAAATTATTCTCACTACATTCCACTGTCTGGCTGGGATATTCCAGTGGTAGATTCCAGTTTGGCTTAGGCTGCAAGCAGATTTGTTGGACTACATCAATGCTCCAGATTCATACTATTTTCTGCACACATCCAGAAGATTTTGTACTTGTTGCTCTTCTTGCAGGCTCTTAAGTGGTTCTTAGCCATAAAATTTGTCTGGCTTTTTCAGCAGTGATGAAATAACGCTCTGTTTTATCTTAGAAAGGCCTCAGAAATGATCAAGGAGGCGTGAATCATGGCCTGAACCTCTGATTGATCACCTGAGGCGAGCACTGAGTCAGCCCTGGGAGCACAGGTGCAGGCAATTCACCGTGCTGCTGGAAGGGGTGGAGCCTGGCTGCACCTCTCCTAGACCCAATTAGGAGCTGACTACCAGAGGGGAAGGGTCTCTTTTTGGAGATCCCTCCTTTGGAGTTTCACAGCAAGCCCAGGATGCAGGTAGGCTTTCTATCTATTCTCTTTTTGTTATTATAACCTGCTGAGCCAAGCTCTCTGGCATATTCCATAACTATAACATCTGCACATTCATTGATTGTACACCTTATTTTACTAAGCTGTTCAGTTTTCTTAACACTGAAGTACAATCCTACCACAAGGTTCTCTGTTACTCCCTGTGAGAAGGCAGCTTCCCATCTTCATCTACAACAGGACCTATTTAATCACAACGTGCTGGTATGGCAGCAGTCTGGAAGTGCCGTGCTGTAACGTGCTCTGCTGATAAAGTAACCTGAGTCACTGCCAAGTAGCTGTTCAATATAAACAAAATGCTGCTAACATTTAGAAACAGTCTTCCAAAATCTGCAAAGGCTTGTAAACATGACAATCCTCAAAAAAAGAGAATACATGACTTAACCGTATCCCCAAATTCCTTTTTTTTTGCATGAGAAAAAACATTTTTATACAAAAAAACCACACATTTTTATATGAAAAACCATCAACTTCACCAGGATTATAAAATAATCCTACATGTGGTATATATAAAATATATAATAATGACTAATATATAATACATGGCTCATTAAGAAGAAGAAAAAAAAAAAACAAACAACCACATAAGTTTCATACCACAGTTTCATTAATTAAAAAACCTGTATTAAAGAAACTGCAGTAGTTTTAAGATGCAGCACTTACCTTGGATCCTTCTCTTACAGTATCTTCTTGTAGTGTCTGCTTTCAGCACATTTCTGGTAAATGGAAAAGATAAGAAAAACAAAGATCACAAAAGATGTCACAAGGATTGTCTTAAAAGTTACATATATCATCTCGCTCAAATTTAAAACATAATAATCCGAGTTTTTCTTTCTCAGCTCTTACACTTTTATGTTAAAGTTCCTGTGTTAAAAATCATTAAGGCAAACTACTTTCACTGTGTTCTGATTTCACTCTTCAGCATGTTTCACATTGTGGTTCAAATTCTAACATACCAGTTAATTGTTTTTCCAGTTACCTCTGGCAAAGGAGGTCGAGATGCAACACCCACCCCTTCCAACCCAACCGCAATACACGAAACAAGTTCTAGCTCCTTCAAGTCCTATCTGCAGGATCCTTTACAGCTGGAATGTCTTTACGCTTCAAAGTTCAACTGCTTGTTATATTTATTCACTGTAACTTCATGTACTGACAGAAGCATATCTTATTTACCTACAGATACCAATACAAATGAACCTCTCTAAAGAAAAAGGAAACCGGTAACAGTCATGTTTTGGCTTTACGCTATGAGAATTGAAACATTTCTTCAATTATCATTTATTAGCACATTACAGAATGCACATACACATGTATGCATATACACACATGTAATGACAGCAAAAACCTACTGTGTACCATATTTAGGAAAGCTCAGAAATCACAGTTATCCTGAAGGCTGATGTATGGGAGCTGTTGAGTCACGGCCTGAACCACTGATTGATCACCTGGGAAAGGACCCGGTCAGCTCTGGGAGCACAGGTGGGAGCAATGCAGCTGTGCAGTTGGAAGGGGTGCAGCCTGGCTGCAGCTCTCTTAGACCTCATTTAAGGGTGACTGTCACTGGGCTGGGATCTCTGCCTGGACGTCCCTCCTTGGTGTAGCTTTCCCCTGCAAACTTGAAATCTTATTTTAGGACTAGTCCCAATACAAGGGCTTCCGTACGAGTGCGGGAATAGACCGCAGGAGCGGACTGGCCACCGGATCGCTCAGCGCTCCGAGAACGAAAGCCTTTCATTTAACCCGCTTAATCGCTAAGGCCGGGCCCGCGGACGTCTTTCAGCCCGAAGGACGGCCCGCGCCCGGCTCCTCACCCGTCACTTCTCCGTCCTACACCGAATTAAAAATGCGCGAATCCGCAGCCGTCCCACACGGGCGGCCCGGGGCGCGGAGCACCGCCGCAGGGCACGCCGAGGGCCGGGAAGCCACCTGCGGGAGGGGCGGGGCGGGCGCCGAGCGGTGCAGAGGAGCCGAGCCGAGGGGACACCGCCCTCCAACGGCGGGAGGACGGCGCTCCGCTCGGGGCCCGCGGCCAGCGCCGGCCCGCGGGCCTCGGCCCTTTACGACGGCTCCGGCCAGGGAGAGCGGGCGGCCCGTCGGGCTGCGGCGCCACTCTTCGCGCTCTCCTCGGCGCCCGACCCGCGGCCTTCCCGCCAGCCGGCGCTTGAGGCGCGGAGAGGCCCGGCCGGGCCGCGGCGCCGCCCGCCCCCCGCTCGCTCCCTCGCGCGCCCTCCCGCCCTCGCTCACCCGCTCACCCGACGCCGCCGCGGACGCGCCGTCCTCTCGCGAGCTCCGAGACCGGCCCCGGCGGTCGGCCCTCGGGCGGGGGCGGGGAGCGCGCGCTGACGCCGCGCGGCCGCCTCGCGCGTGCGGGGGCGGGAAGGGCCGGCGTTCGGGGCCGCCGCTTCCGTGCGCCGCGCGCCCTCTCACGGAACCCGGCCGAAGCTCCGCGCGCCGCCCCGCCCGTCTCCGGAGCTCCGCCCCGAGGCGGGAGGCCGCGGCGCTCCGTCGGGCGCCCGAGGTGAGGGCGGGCCCCGGGCCGCGGCTTTGGACCGCGCCGTGTGGGAGCCGGGCGGAGCCGCGGCCGTAGCGTTGAGAAGTCGGGACGTCCGAGCTGCGCGCGGGGCCGGGAGGGGAGCGGCGCCGCTCGGGGAAGGCGGTGGGAGCGCGGCCCGTGCGGGAGCGCAGGCGCTCCTTCGGTAGAGCGGGGCCTGCGGGGCTGTGCTCGGCAGCTCCAGATCCGCCCTGCGCTCTTTATCGCGGCGGCTGAGAGCTGAGCTGCCGGGCGGTGTGTGTGTGTGTGTGTGTGTGTGTGTTTGTGTCTGTCTCTGTCTGTCTGTCTGTCTGCTCGCCGGGAGGCTGCGGCTGGCGGAGGCCTCGTGGAATCTAACCCGGTTTGGGCCCCGGCTCTGCTGAGGCTTTTGGTGCCTTCAAACAAAACCCGCACGTACATTAAAAAGTTGTAGGACTTCATACAACTTCAAACATTCTGGTGTACTTCATTGCAGACGAATGCGCTGACGTTTCAAACGTGGCTTGTTTGAATTGGTGGGTTGGAAGGGGGGTGGTTTGTTTTGGCTTTTAAACTAGAACACGTAACTTACACGTTCCTCTGAATTACAGTTACTTAATTGTATTTTAATTATTACTTAATCAGATTTTAACCAATTTCAGAAACAAACTTACACCAGCGATGGCCTGGGAGCAACAGTGCACTATTAAAGATCTCGGTGAAACCTGTGGCTCACTCCAGGTTCACTTCTGTCAGCCTCTGAGTGAAACAGTTCAGATGTGAGTCTGCTGTTAGAACCGGCAATGCAGGCAATATATATTTTTTTGTTCTCCTCAAAACAAGCACAAGCAATCCATTTGCTATGGAGAGATGAAGTTGACAAAGTTCAGTCTGCATTGCAAAATCAAAGGAAAAAAAAAATTATCTGTGATTTCAGGCGATAGCAGCATTTATCCATATTTCTGTCTTGTGTATAAAAATAGAGGTTACGTAATTGGTTCAAAAATGCTTTACCTCATCCCAGATAATACACGTGATATATAGAAACAAGCAGGTACTTGTGCAAGATGTGCAAAGTCTTTCCATTGTTGCATGCAGCTTAGATTATTCTATTTATTTCAGCACATGCAAGCATTTAAAGCATCTGTAATTAATTATTAGAATGGTAAATATGTGGTTGATACTGTGCAGTTACTGACTTCTAATGGTAAGCAGTACTGTGCAGTGCTAAAAACATGAAGAAAGGAAGTATTAGAAAAAAAAGATGTATTAAAAGGTTCACATTAAACACAACTGATGCTCATTTCTTGAAGGTGTTTGGACACTAGCCAGTGCATGGGAAGGAGGACACATTTAAAGAATCAAATAACTTCTTGAGCATGGTATCTCCCATATCTTAGTGGAAATTGTCCAACTCGTCACAATAGCTCTTGACTTTGAGCACCACCTTTCCTGTCTCGGGCACAAACATTTGTGGCACTTCCTTCTTGCTGCAGGAAAGTTCAGTCCCACAACTTGGCATTTGCCTCTAAGAGTAACAGTGAACTCCACGTTTACTTGCAGCAGAAACAAGTGCGACAAACGCGTGGAGTAGTTGGTCGTAGAACCGTGCTGTCTACTCTGTTTTTCTGATGTGTTTGTTAACTACACCAAGGAATCGCACACATGTGGGAGGAATTGCACTCAGTAGAATCTCATTTGCAGTACTAGTGTAAATTTTAGCAAATAATTTTAAAGAAGTTGGTGTGTATATTCAGGAAATGCTTTTTGTTTTTCATTATCCCTATCTGCAGGCATTACAGTGCTCATTTGTAGCGTCCTTCTCTAGCAAGTATTTGAAACTTCTAACACAAATAACTGAAGTACTTTGTTTAAATTGTAGCCAAACTTATGCAGCCCCAGAGACGAGCTTTCATTCTCGAGTTTCCTCACCAACCACAATTAGCACCCTCTCGGATGAAGTGTGTCATACCTTTGCACCTCCTTACAGAGATGAGTTATACTTATCGTAAAAATTTTCTTTGTTTTTTTAATCACTGTCTTGAATCTGTTCAGACTTCTTTAGATACACTGTAGAACGTGTTGGAAATATGCCTTCATGGATATATTCATGCCCATGAGACAGATTTCTGTGCATGGGATAAAAAAAAAAGTGCATTTCAGAGTACTTCTGTAAATCTGCCCTTACCCAGGAACACCAATGAACTACTTCTCTCTTTTCTTTTTCCTGCTCAGATTCCAACTAGTACACAGCGTATGAGTTTTTTGTCTCACAATTAAGGCTTACTGAATAATTAGCCTGTAAGAATTTTAATTATGTGTTATTAAGATCCATTTAGTGAGAAGAGCATTTTATAATGCTTCTTCATTGCTGCAGGTATTTTTGTCAGAAAGTAATTGCAGTTTTTCCAGCATATATATAGAGTATACATAGTCCACAGAGGAAGCCAAGTGAAGCCCGAGAGTTCATTGCAGGATATGGCTGCAGAAGTTGCTTGTAAGGAGTTTTGATCATGTCCAAACGAGGGAAGCTTTCTATTAGCACTGCAGAGGTGCTTGCCTTATTTTCACTGCCAAAGGGATTCGTTCCCATTTCTTTGGGTAGGTCTCTAACTGGGACATATGTTAACAAATACCTCTTATCTCTGCACTTCAATCATTTTAAGCACTTTGTATCCTCCAAAATTTGAGCTGATAGTAGATTCTGTATTTCCATAGGGAACTCCAGAATCTCTGTTCAGTCTTCTTGCCAATGACAACAAACAATGAAAAGCATCTGATGGTAATACTTATTGTCTCCTTTACTGATATCCAGCAAAGGGACTGGATAGAAGGAATATTGTTTGTCACCATGAAGCCAGTTTAGCAGACCTTGCAAAAATGTTCTGTCCTCTCTTCAGAAATACAGGAAAAGCCCTGCTGAAACTACTGAATACATTGTTCCCCTTTTCAGAAAGCACCTTCTGCTCACATCACATGGTCCACAGGACTCCCAGCGTTACCTTACTTCAAAATTTGGTCATTTTTTGAGTATCAAAGATGACGGAGCTGATGGTAAATTCATACTTTAAAGTGACCGCTGCTGTTGTTTAATTGAGTTGCAAACGCAGTGTGCTTAAGCTGCAGAAATAGGAGAGCTTAATGGGTAACAGTTTATGAAAGATTCTGAACTCCTTATTGATTGCTTCCCCAGCTCTTTGAGAATCAGAATTTGCTGAAATTTCTGTTAGTGCACCAAAGCATTTGGCGAGAGGATGTCTGCTATGTGGAAGTTTGGCATTCAGTCTTGGAGCACTTGTGGCTGCTTATGGCTAATTAAATGAGAATTTCTTGCACAGAGTTGATTTAATTTTAATTTCTGCTAGGATGCCCAGAGCACCAAGTGCATGTCTGTTCACTGGGAAGACATCCTTGATACACACTGAAAGAATTAATACAATTAATTCACCACCACCAGAGGAAAAAACTTGGGATTTGTTTGTGCAAATTGCAAACTGATGATGAATTTACAAAACTAACTGTATGATATTCTCACCTTTTACATCACGTGAGTTCTGTCTTGTGTAAAGCTCTGTCCTGAGAAGCAAGAAGCACTTCTTATGTTAAGTAGGAGATGAAGGTTCTCCTTAATTCCTTGCTGGAGACTGGGGAGTCCATGACCTGCTCGTCCCAGGTAGCAATGAAGACTTTTTCCCCAGGGGTTCAAATATCTCTTGGCCATCTTTTTTTGTTCAAGCATTTTTGTTTGCTATAATGAAAGCTTGGAAGAAGAACTGTTCAAAATGTAAAAATAGCAAAATGTGGGGAGGCTGCCATTCATTTTGTAAGTCAGAGCTTGTGACTAAAGTATGCTGCTTAGCAACAAATGGGGGAAATCTGAAGGTGGTCACGTCGTTTTGCGCTCCCTGAAAAGTAATTATTCATGTTCTTCCTCCTACCTTTTAAGCACCATCCTTTTCATGTCCCTTTTCTGCTTGGGATGAGAACTATGTGGCTGGTTGAGTTGTGCAACCTAGTTTTATCATCAGCAATACTTGTGCTGCTGCAGCTGTGATTCAGCTGGAGAGCTCCAGCTCAGATTTCAGCTCTCTCTCCCATAATGCTGCACACAATGTGTATTTGTCCTTATGGACCAAGGTTTAAATGTGTGTGGAGCTGTTGAAGGGAATCCAGAGGAGAGTCCTGAAGATGATCAGAGAGCTGGAGCACATTTCCTATGAAGATAGGCTGAAGGAACTGGACTTACAGGAAGGGAATCAACTTTTTACGTGGGTAGACAGTGGTAGGCCAAGGGGGAATGGTTTTAAGCTCAAGGAGGGAAGGTTTAGATTGGATACTGGGGAATTTCTTTACACAGAAGGTGGGGTGCTGGAACAGGCTGCCCAGAGAGGCTGGGGGCGCTCCGTCCCTGGAGGTGTTCGAGGAAGGCCAGGCTGGATGGGGCCCTGGGCAGCCTGGTGTAGTGCCAGATCTGGTGGCTGCCTGCCTGTGGCAGGGGGATTGGAACATGGTGATCCCTGGGGTCCTTTCCAACCCATGCCATTCTGTTGTTCTGTATGTGGCCCTTCATGAAGCTCGTACCTCAGTCTCAGTGAGCACCACTTACCAACTCTTGCCTTAATTCCCCCTCTGTGACTTCTCACACCCTGATCACCTGGTTTGACTTTTCATGTCTTTTTGCAAGACTTCTAAGAGCACAAGGTAGCTTTTCTTTCTAGGTTTGATTTTCTATAGGAAATTACTTGTACTCCAGGTTGAA